TGTGTGACAAAATAAAGACAAGATCAAGTTAGTTTAGCTCACCTCAATAATTAGGATTTAGTGAAAGTTCCCACAAAATGGAAATTTGAGAGAAGATGTTGCTGTTTTCAGATTTGGCATTTGTATTTGTTCAAATTTAAATACTTCTGTACAGAACTGTGCAAAAGTCTTAAATTGTCCATTCGATCTTTAGATTTTCATTTTTAAAAGTATGACTTTTTTTGTAATTTTTTTAATGTGGTCCAGAGCTTTATTGCTTCGGCCTTTCTGAAGGTCAGAAAATGAGTGAGACGTTATATTTGCTGCTTTTCACACATTTTCACTGAAGTTATTTTACACGATCATGACACAAGGAAATACTTTTAGACAGCCTGCAGAAACTTTTGATCAAGATCACCTTAAAATCTTACATCAAAGTCTTTTTTTGGGAAATGACCAATAAATCCAGGAAGATTTAAAACTGTTTTTCACATAGTTGTTACCTTTTGATCTTTGTTGGTTGGACACAAGTTTTATTCTATTTACAATCTGGGCAAAAGTTTTGTAGACTGAACACCAATTTTAAAACACAGTAACAAAAGTAAGATGCACTTTTAATGAGTGGCATGTAAATTTACAGATTTAAAACTGACAAGGCCGGATGCACTGACAAAATAATAAACCTTTAGTCCCGTGTAGATTTTCATTAAGCATCAGTGACAGTCAGAGTCACAGGAGGAGCAGCAGTTTGTGTTTGGCTTCATTTTTCACACCTCCTTTATGATGTGAAATTGATTAACAGCTGTAATAACTAAAAGAAGCTCCTCAGTAACCTGCCAGTAGCTGTGCAGAGCTGTGGTTCGCTCTCAGAGGACTCCAAGCCACAGCCTCGCTTCACGGATCTGTGCAACAAGCATGAACAGTCCTCTGTTTATTATTGCACATCACATTCTCAGATGGACAAATTAAATTCTGCAACATGTTTTGTGTTTAAATTTGCTCTGTGTCACTTCAAATCAATCCTTGATTCAAAGTGTGTAAGAAGGCTGCCTGACTCTGCTTCAGCAGGCCTTCTGGGACAAATTAAGAGCATGAAGCGCTGCAGGAGGATCTATGACGCCACAAACACACACAAAGAAAACAACACTTGAATAAAACCTTTTTCTTTAGTAAACATGCAGCCAAATGTGATTTTACAAGATTGAATTAGGGGATACTGAACGGGGACATTCGTGCATTTTCTAACATCCCACATTGCAAATGCACCTTTTCTCAGCTGCTCTTCCTTTTCTCGTTACACTGTCTTTACCGCTGCTTCTAAAGTTCAACTTATTTTAAATTACAAAGTACATGTTTGCAATTGTACTGTTTAGGTGGAAACTAAAGTATTTTTATGTAGCACTAGAGAAATAGCAATCTCACTAAAAATGCATTCTGGATGATCAAACTGACATTTGTTTACAAGACTGAAACTAAATTGTTGAAGTTAAAAGTAAAAGGTCACATTAGCAAGATAAAAGCAAAAATTAGCAAAACAGTATCTAAAAGTTAAAACTAGCTAAACTGACGTTTGGAGTCAACCCAATTATGGCTGCTCAGTTAATAGACCGTAGCCCACAAAAAAATCCCATAAATCAGTAATATTTAAAGCTAATTGTCTAGCTAATAGCTAATGTTATGAACTAATATCTGGTGTGGTAGTAGCTGACAGTCATATTAACGCATACTCCAAGAGCTAATTCATCACAATTCATTCAGTGATGTGTGAGATTGCACAAAATGTAATTTTCAAAGTTTGACCAAAGTAGCTCCGTCATTTTTCAACATAAGATTATCTTATTCTAAACTTCTGTGGGTGATGCCCAGTGCTCAAGCACCCCTAAATTTTAACTCAGCACTCCTGAAAAATAGAGTTAAAAAAAAAACAA